TCTTGAAGGAGTATCTTGTGGTCAGTCAAAGATCACTTTCACCGGCCTCTGCTTGGTGACGACGCTCGAAACACGACCGCTGCGCCACTGCTCGGCTTGTGATACTGGGCCTTCCTCGCGACCGAGTACATTCTTTCATGGCACTGATACAGTCGATGGCTTGAATGTCGACTAGGTTGGTGTCTGGAAGAACACAGTCGCCACGACGTACGAGTCCGATCAATACCACGTGGGGACGTGGCAGCACTGGTGGTGTGACGTGGCGGCGCCAGCGACTATTGTCCGGATGATGTATATGGCAGTGATAGCCAAATGCAAGAAGCGAAGAAAGGACGATCCCAAATGCTCGTGATGGCCGTCAATTGTTCTTGTGCAAATGCCAAAGTCGCACGTCGAGCTGCCACGTCACACGCATCATCCTTCCTTACCAGAGCTGCGGATTGGTGATGCGCTTGGATGATGCACTGAGTTGGGACAAAGGTATCTCCCACGACAACCGGATGGGACATTGTAGTCCAAACAGCATTCATGCGCTCGAGGGAGATTCCTCTGGAAGGGACAAAGGTATCTTCCATCGACAACCGGATGGGACAATCGAGCACGCGCGGGACCTTGTCGCGGGCTTGCGGCTACCACCGGCTGGTGCGGGCCTCACATTGGCGCTCCCACGGCACCGTGTTTGATCGCGTCGGGCAACAAGCCTGGCAGATGTTACGCTACCTCACGCTCCGGACGTTATGGAATCAACGGTGTCGCAAGATGCACGCTCCTGACGATGAGCTGCCGGACCACAAGCACGTTCGGTACGTTACTTTGGACTATTGCGAGGCGCAACGCCAGTACCACACTCGACGCCACCAAGCACTCCGAGCTCGTGTCTTCGAGTCGCTCGTGCAGCAACACGGCGAGCGCGTTGTTCTCGACCCGGTGTGCCACATGACCTCGCTTGCGGGGGTCGCGTACTTTGATGGCGCGGCTCGGAAAGACCCGCATTGTGGCGGTAGTGGCTCGCTCGTCTTTTTGATCGAGTCGCCCAAGAGCGTGATGCACCAAGCCAACTACCTTGATACAACGAACAACGAGGCCGAGTACGACGGTCTGATCACGGCGCTCCAGCTAGCTCAGCGACTGGCAGTGACGCATCTCACCGTGCGCGGCGACAGCATGCTGCTGATGCAGCAGATGAAGGGCATCTACCGGGTCCAAGAGGCTCGTTTGCAGAAGCTGCATGTCCAGGCGCGGGAGCTCGCGGCATGTTTTACGTGCACATGGGAACACCACCCTCGCGAGTTCAACCAAGCCACGGATCATTTGTCCAAGCTCGCACCCGACGACTGCACCTCGTACGCGCATCCCGACGACGGACGGCACGATTTACTGCCGGCCGAGGAACTCCTGCACGTTGAAGAGCTTTTGGCCGCCGACGTTCAACACACAACTAGTACGTAAGTTTTAGTAGGTGGAGTCTTTAGTCTGTATAAAGATTTCAATCCATATCATATCATATCACAACCTCGACGCGCGATCGTCAA